ATTAGCATGCGTAGCCCAGACAGATCCCAGCAATTAGTGGACGCGAAGAACGTACCCCATATTCGAGAATAAAGCTTCCACAATCCCCGCAGAACTCCCGATGGATGGTCGATCCCGAACCATTGTCCCCGACGAATTCCTTCGGTTGGCCGGATTTGAGCGTGAGCGCGTCTTTGGGGACCTTGGCTGTTAGACCGTAGTTGGTGCCGAATGCTTTCTGTGATGAGCACCATGGCCCCATCGCCGTCAGTGTTAGCCCGTGGTTTTTTGGGGTGGGGAAGGGACTTTGGGGGATAGGGTTGGAGGTATAAGGAAAGTAGAGGAGCTCGAACCTTGCAGCTGCTGCAATGGCAGAGAGAGGTGCGGGCGTCGTCCGGGGAGGAGAGCGAGAGGTCATAGGTGATGTTGCGGCAGTAGCAGGAGCCGGGATAGGTGGGCATTCTGGCGGCTGAGCTGTGGAATTGCGAGGTATGAATGGAAGGGAAGTGTGGTCGTTGTCCTTGCCAGTGTCTTGTAGTGTTTAAAGTATAGGTGGTGGAGGGAAAGTGGCTGTGGTTGTTGTTCTCGTTCATACACTTGTTGTATACAGCGCGAGGCCGGGCTGCTTGCCGAATGTTGACGTCATGTGCAGCAGCAGCAGCCGCTGTTGTTGTCCATCGCCGCCAGCCATTCTCCCTCCCACCACCACCTCCTCTTCCTCCTGCTCTTGTCACTCCCCGCATCAGCCCCGTCGAACTGGGGCCTGTCGCTTTGTACTTGTACATACTGCTCAATGGCGTGGTCCTAGCTTTCTGTCATACTCGGGAAGCTGCGTTTCTCGTCTTTCTTTATGCACAGTCGTTCGTTTGTTCTCGCCCCCCCTCCCGTGGCGTGATGTGACTATGACACACCAAACGCCCGCGATCATCCGACTGTTCGCGTGGGGATTTATACCTCTGTTTCTTGCCTCTCGGCTCTCTGGCTCTACTCCACTTGATTCCGTCAACCCAACGGAGTGAACTTTGGCAGCAATTCGACGGGGGGTGTTTCCCGCGCCCGCACTCTCTCTTATCTACAGAGTCAGACCCAAACCCGCTTCCATGAGTGTACACCCAACATTTCTATACTACGTTCGACTATAATTTTATCCACGTTATCCTCAACACGATGACAACATCCCCACCACCGTATCACCAACCTCCCGGCGACCAATCTCAATCTCAGCCTCTCGAAAAGCGCGCCGTCGTCTCATCCTTCATCTTCAATTTTAAGGATGGGAACCCGCTCGTAGCGCTGTTCAAACGCAGCGACAAAGTGAGAACATATCGGTTTGTCTCCTGATCGCCTTGGGTAGAAGTGCACATCTAAGAGTCAAATCAGTGGCCACCTTGCCCCAATATCCGGCAGCATATCGTCCGACGACCGCGACCCGCTCGCAACCGCCTGGCGCGAACTCTCCGAAGAAACAGGTCTCACTTCCTCTAACCTCACGCATTGGCGCACCGGAAAGCCATTCACATTCAGTGATCCGTCAGCCGGACGCGAGTGGACTGTGCATCCGTTCGGCTTCCTATACAACGCAAACACGCCTAAAGAATCAACAGCAAATGAAGAAGAACCGTCCTTCAAGACCGACTGGGAGCATACAGGCTGGGAATGGCACCCGCCATCCGCGATCCTCAATGAAGAGCTCTCGCCCACCGTGCCTCGACTTAAGGACAGTTTCCGCCGCGTATGGTTCGAAGGCGATCTCCGCAGTGAACGCGCTGGCAATATCCTCGCCACGGGACTAGAGCGTCTCCGCAATGACCACGAAAGCGGCTCGCAGGAGCTCACGACCATCGCGCTGATGATCTTCCGCGACTTCCTCGTCCAGACCCAGAACGGGATGGACGCCCGATGGTGGGCCAACGTGCGCATGGCGGCGTGGCACATCATCAAGAACGGACGGGAGAGCATGGGCGCCGCGACGATGAACGCGCTCGTCGCCGTGCTCGCCGAACTCGACGATATCCTTCACCACGACGAAAACCACAACCACAGCCCTGGCCCTAATAACAACCACTCCGACGAGCAAAAGTGGGAGCGCATGCTCGCGGTGCTGGACCACCACCTCGCCAGTCGCAAGAGCCGGGCAACGCAGGTCAAAGACGCTTTCACCCACTACATCCGGTACCACTTCCTGCACCATGGCGAGCCGCGGGACAAGCTCACGATCCTGACGGTATCGGCAAGCTCGACGATCCGCGACAGCATCCTGGACGCGTACGCTTCGCTGGACATCCACCTGTTGGAGCTGCGGGTGCTGGAATCCCGGCCCCTTTTCGAGGGCGCCAGCATCGCCTCGTCGCTGATCTCCAACTTCAAGTCGCGGTTCGCGGACACCCCCCACAAGAACCTGCGGGTCAAGGTGTACACGGACGCGTCGGCCGCCATCGCCGCCGCCGGGGTGGATCTGCTGCTGCTCGGGGCGGACCGCCTGTCCGCCACGCGGGGGGTCAGCAACAAGACCGGCTCGCTGCCCGCCGCTCTGTGCACGCGGCACGTCAGCCCGGACGCCCAGATTGTCGTCCTCAGCGACCTCGAGAAGATCAACGGCGCCCCCAGCGTCATCGACGACGACAAGCACGAGGGCAACTCCCCGCTCGAGGTCATGACCACCTGGCGCAGCGACGGCGTCAAGGGCGTCGGCGTGTTGGAGGAGGGCATGAAAGCCGCGGCTGGCCCCGGCAGTTCCAAAAAGCACGACCCGGGCAACTCCGCTGCCACCGTCGACGTGGAAAACATCTACTTCGAATGGGTGCCCCTGCACATGGTCGATGCCTTCGTCAGCGAAGAGGGCGTCATGGACGAGGGCCGCATCCGCGAGAAGTCCGAACAGCTCGGGAACAAGGTCGATAAGTTCTTCCTTGACTTATAGGGCAAGGGCTCGGCTCAATAAATAGAGATATCGACCCTGATTTGCATTGGGAGAAGACGGTTTTTAGTTCTTCTATTCTGCCCATTTTCCCACCCTTTTCTTTCCTTCTTTTCTTCTACCAGAGATGTGGGGTCATGCAACACGACTACACCATACCATCCAGGGCAATTCTGGCATTCCACCTTAGCGCATAGTGAGATTACATAGTGCAGTCATCCTGGTATCAATTCTAATCCAATACAACAATTCCATGCTATAAGTCCATCCCCGCTCGAGTCATTTTCACCCCCTGCACAACTTCATTTAAAAGCTACAACATTGTTTCCCCCCAACAACAGCCGAGATATCCCGCTGGGATCTGATAGGGTCAACCCCAAAATCACGGCGGGACAATGCTGGAGCAAGAGACAAAGAAACCGGTAGCACTATCTACAGTAACCCAAAATGATTGGCCCCCTCGCCCCTGTCAATAGCCCTACCCTTGCACGGACTAATGGTACTATATGTATCTTACCAGGATATAAGTTATATCCCTCCACCCTGGTCGGAGACCACTATACTATCTAGCTCATAACTGACTAGCGCGGTTAGTCACACCAGGAGCGCCAGCGCCAGCACCAGCACCAGTCTTCTCTAACCCCCCTTGCAACGCCAGCTCCAGCCCGTCGGCCACATGCTCCGGCACACTCAGAAACGCCGAGTGCGATGCGTCCACGTGATAGCGGCCGGGGTTGCCCAGGGTGTGGGCGAAGGCCTCCTGCGCGGCCAGGGGCAGCGCCTGGTCTTGGTCGCAGAAAAGGTAGAAGGCGGGGATCTCGCGCCAGGGTTCGTGGAGGGCTGGCTCGAGGAAGGAGGGCTTGGGGTGGCGGTGCAGGTTGGCGATGGCGCGGCGCTGGGCGTCAGGGGTCAGGTCATGGTAGAAGATCCTCTCGGGCTGGGTGGTGTAGACGTATCCGTCGTCGGGGGTCTGCATTGTTGGTGGACGAGTGTTAACCGACGGCTGTTGTTTATGCAACAGAACGTTTGCGATAAATGGAAGGGGGCCACTTGCTGTGAAACTCATCCAAGGCTCCCACTTCCCTCCCAGCATCTCGAAGAGGGACTTGCCCTCGGGCGCGACGAAGGCCGCCATCCATACCACCTGGATCACGCCCCCGGGTTGACCTGCGCGGGCCCGAGGCGCGTAGCCGAGACCCTCGACGGCGCCCGCGGCGACGATCCCGCCATAGGAATGGGCGACTACCACGATCGGACGTGCCTGGTCGGCTAGACCCCGGAGAACCCTCCTGGTGTGGGCGATGTCGGCATGGAGACCGATTGATGGATCGGCCGCGCCGACGGACTGGTTCGCAACGGCCTCGGACTCGTAACCTCGCTGCCGTAATACAGCGCGGATGATGTCGAAGGTATCTGGGGTGTGCCATGCACCGGGCACGAAGACGAAGATGGGCTTTGTTTGGACAGTCATTGTGATTGTGGATATTCGGATGCTTTTATCACTTTTGGGTCATTCTTTGATTCTCTGGCCCTTTCTGCGGGCCTGGACAGTGTACTTATAGCGAGGAGCGAAGACTGACTATGGGGACATCGGGTCTCGGCCAAAGGGGAGGGAGGGGGAAAGCGGAGATTGTATGGCGTTCATTTAAATTGTTTAGATTGTTGTCCAAAGATAGGCCGCAGTTTCCCCCCGGACGGTAGGCTAACGGCCGCTGTCAGACCCACAGGCGGGCCTGTCGCCGAGACACGATGTACAATCGGCAGTCGCACCATCTTGGAGGTCCCGTACTAGGACTATAGTGGTCCATCTAAACTGACTGGGGTCTAGCGAAGGACTGGTCGCGGAACGGAGGTTGTCCGCCGCCCACCATGACACTCTGTGTTGTTGGTGGCCACTAGGCAAACAGAAGTACTGGCTGACAGTGACTTGGGAATGCACTGTACTCCCCTGCCAGGAGCACCTAAGAGCACAAAGGAACTTTCGAGACTATGGGCCCCTATTCCCTTATTCTGGACATTTCCCGCTTCTTTAAAGCATCAGCCATGATTGAATTGAGCTTGTTCGAGCCGTTGGGCAAGTCTGTGGACAGCAATGGCATCGACGATGGATGTCAACGAGAACCGCCAGCGTGAAAACCGAGTGCTTTGCATTTTCATGACCGCCCTAGGCTTGCTCTTCGTGATCTTGCGACTTCTAGCGCGGTGGAAGAAGGGCTTATCGGTTGGACCGGACGATTATACCATACTGTTGTCAATGGTGAATTCGAACTCGAATGCTTCGAACTTATTACTTCACCACTAACTTGGCTCTGGCTCGCCGAGTGTAGGTATTTCTCTGCGCAATCTGCGGTCTCAATTTGGCCAGTAAGAACTCCACAGCTCAGGGCTCCAATGCTTCCTCTCGCCTGATGATTGTCAGTGATTCACTATGGAATGGGCCGACACGCAGACGCCCTGCCGACCGAGAACGTCATAAAGATCTCCAAGGTGTGATCCAGCCACGCCATGTGCATAGCACCAGAGCCCAGCTATGCAATAACTGATGCACCCACAGCTGCTCGTGGTTTACGAATGCGTCTATTGCACAACCGTGGGCATCATCAAGGTCTCCATCCTCCTCATGTACGCGCGGATCTTTCCAACGCGGAACTTCCGCATCGCTTCTCTCGTCCTCGGCAGCATCGCAGTCTGCTGGGTCATGGCAATCATCTGTGTGAGCGTGTTTCAGTGCGCTCCGATCGCGAAGGCCTGGGACCAGCGGCTCCCAGGCAGCTGCATCAACCTGAAGGGATCGTTCATCGGCAACGCAGTCCCGAACATTGTGACTGATGTGGCGATCCTCTCATTACCAGTGCGTGTAGTCTGGGGTCTGCACGCCTCCCTTACGCATCGACTGTCGGTGATCGCCGTATTCCTGCTGGGCAGTTTGTGGGTTTCTCCCTTCCATCTGCCTCCGCCTTACCTCCCTCTATCTACTCCGCGCCGAACGCTGTCAAGTTCGCGCCGTCTTAGCGCCTCAGGGTATCGAGTTAGTAGCTGTCCAAGAACTGACACATGCACACCACAGCGTTGTGTTCACCAGCGCCTACCGCTTCTCCACGCTCTTCCAGTTCGAACCAGCCGACACCCCCTGGACACTTGCCACGGCCAACACATGGTGTCTCATCGAGTGCGCAAGTGGGATCATCTCCGCCTGTCTCCCGACCCTGCGGCCGCTGTTTGTGGCGCTCTCGTCCAAATTCGCCAGCAGCGTGGGAGGAGGCTCGCGCGGACGATCGGTCGAGAATGGCATCAAGGACTCCGAGCTCCAGAGCTTAGATGCCCTCAACCCCACATTGCGGCCGCCTGGCGAGCACCTATCCAGACAGCTTGTGTTGATGGATGTAAGCCAGCGGGATAACGCTTACGGGGATGAGGTGCCGCTGAATACAATCCGAGTACAGCGCGAGATCACTTGGCAGGAGACGAGGGACATCCATCCGCGAGAACGTAAATGATGAGATTGTGTGTCTATGAGCAAAATGCGTTCACCATGGGACTCGGGCTGTATCAACGAGTAGTATGTATCTTGGCTAGATGAGTGGACAGTGAGGAGGGGTGAGCGCCAGGCAGGCGAACAGGAGCGCTTTCTCGCTTAGGAGGAACCATGGGGCATTTCTAGTCCATCTTTGTAATGTTCCGCCTTTCGTTTGTGAAGGAATCCATACGGTGGGACCACTCAAACGAGACAAACTGATCTTTGAAAGTATTTCAAGACAGTGGCATCGAAGCATCCGGACAAATGTGCAGATATAGTTAGTTGGTGTGTGGTGGTAGCTCTTCCAGTCGGCCCGAGCCGCGAGTGAGCCCATCGAATGCGGCATTTCTGCCATCTCTTCCCGCTTTGCAGCTATCCGTCTTATCGGCTTCTGGGAAATCCAGAAAGGACTGTCTTTTGAAGGATAGTTCATAAGAAACTTGCAGAGCATGTAAAGACGATTGTAACATGTCTTAGTTCAGAGAATTTCAGAAGCTGCATTGATCTCACCTTCTATAACAGCGAAACAAGAAGCAACCCAGCCCGAGCGGAGGCTTTGTGGGTGAATATATAATGGGTGCTGTAAGCCCACCAAGGCCAAGCTACAGAACAACACATTATACACAAACAAATAGTATATTCTCAGACCGATGAAAAGCAACAAGGCTGATATTGTCCATTACCCTATTCACAGAAGAAAGCATACTCCAAGACTCCGCTGCCAAGGCCTGGTTCATGAAGGCCAACATCCCACATTGTAAAAGCACAACAGACAAACAGAAAGGAACTCAAAAGGTATCATTCAATCCACAAAAGTTTCTCCGCAGTCAGCACTCGCGAATCCGCGCCTGCCGCTTCGCCGTCCCGATGTGCGTATTATGTACTTTGGTAGCGAATTTGAGGCTGGTCAAGGTCTCGGACAGGTGGGCTTGCAGCGGGCTGACCATGACGAACATCAGGGTCTTCGAGTTGCCGCCGAGGGAGAATTGGAGGAGGTAGGTTAACTGTTAGGTTGTTGTTAGCTGACTGATGCAACACCAAAAGAATCATCTGCGCGGCGTACCTTGCTGTTGCGGTAGGGAATATGTCCACCCTCCTTGCCCTGTCCCAGAGCAGCGATCACATCGCCCAAGCAGCTCAGACTGCGATTGATATTCTGTGTCTCGCGCAACCGCTCGCCAGTTGCACCACTGTGGCTGAGGCGCTCACTACCAGCGAGATCGACGAGGTTAAGGGTGCCCTCGCTGCGCTCACCCGTAATATCGTTCTCACCGATGAGCTTGAGAATAAAGACCGAGTGAGACCGAGAAGACCTCTCGTTGGCTTTGGTTGCTGCAACGGAGCGGTTGGAGGCGGCCCTCTTGAGGATGGTCTCAACCATCTCAGGCGATTCTAGGCGGACAGTGGTAGCATCGGTTATGATGGTCTTGCCCCTCTGCATATCATGGCGGATTTCGAGCTTCTTTCTATCCAGGTCGTCGGGGTTGCCCAGCAAGTCGTTGAGGTTCTCGTTGTACACCTCCACGAAATTACCTTCCATCGTGTACCTCCAGCCTTTCTCCTCGAGGCCAGTGGCCGTCTCATAAATCTGGTGCACGGCCCGAGGAATCATACCGTCAAGAGATGACATGGTATAGGTTTTACCACTGCCGGTCTGGCCGTAGCAGAAGATGCACACATTGTATCCATCTAGAGCACTCTGCACCAGCTGGCTGATTTCATCGAAGACCTCCGCGTTCTGGGTAGACGGCCCGAATACACGATCGAATGAGAAGTTGCTGTTCTTCCTCGAGATTGCTCCAAGGCTGCTCTTCTCCTCCGGGCCCAGCACTGCTATCTCTTTGCAATCCTCGGCGTCATCCGGAAACTGAATCTGAGCGACTTGATTGACAGGATCCGAGGGCAGCGAGGGGCGGACTCGGCAGAAGACTCGAATATTGCCTTTGAGCTCTTGTACCTGGTTGTGAAGTTTCCTTCTCAACGTCTCTTCCTTGCGGAGCTTTTCCTTTGTGGCATTCGTTTCAGCCAATGCGTCCATCATTTGTTGGTTTAGACGCTCAAAAGCCTGGGACTGCTCTTCGCGACCGGACTCCAAGAACTCGATGCGGGCTTTTAACGCACGCACGGATGACTCCATAGTTACAGTGTTGGTGCTGGCTGCATCCAGATTGTGCCTCAGGTCTCGGTTGGCCTTACGTTCACGCTCCAAATCAGCCTTCAGGGCGTGTATGTCGTGTTGCAGGGTGGCGACTTCTCGTTCCTTCTTCTCCAGCTCGGCATGCGTGCGCTGTGTGTCAAGTGCAGATTGCGAAGTGATCTGACTGAGTTCGCGCATCCGCGCAGCTCGTTCTTCCTCCATCTCGTCATCAAAGCGCCGCTTGAGTTCCTGAATTTCCTCTTGGTGCCGCGAGTGCATTGTCTCCATTTCTCTTCTGCCTTCCAATCGTACTGTCTCCAATTCCATACGTCGGCGGGCGTTGATGTCGTCGACGATCATTTCATGGTCTCTCTGTGCGTCTTTGAGTGCTTTCTCCGCACCAGCAAGTCGATTTTCCATCGAACCCATTTCGATACGCAGGGTAACATTTGTTTCTGTGAGTTCTTTTGACGATGCCTCTAGTTCACTCACTATGAATGGTTTTTAAATTAGCACGGAGAGCCACGATCAGCGCGCACTTCTCACTTACCTCTAGACTTGTATAAATCCACTGCATCTTTCAGCGCTGTGCTCGACTGTCCCTGTTGACTGACACGTTCTTCCATGCTTCGCACAAGGTCATACATTCGCCTTTCTCGGAGATCCAGGTCCCAATCGCCACCTATAGAATAGTTAAAAGACTTGATCATTGAATCTTTGGTAAGAAATTGTGGCAAACGGGATGGCTTTCGGGAAGAGCGAGTAATGGACAGAAGAGGGGTAGATGGGGCTGGTCTGACGGGAGTAGTGAAGGGAGATCTAGAAGACAGGGCATGATAACGCAATTGACTCATAGAAGCATGATGCGCAAGAGGGAGTTTAGAAGCCAAGGGATCAATGGGGCCAGGAACCAAAGCCAGTCTGTCCAACGGCGAGCATGGTGAGTCCTCACGCTGGGTCCATGGCCAGATCCGGGAAGTCTCATTGCTTGGTAGAGTCCTTGTGGCCTGGGGTACAGTAGCAGGGGATGAAAAGCAGTCAAACTCGCGCCTACCCTTACGTTTTCCAAGTATGGTACCCTCCGAGTCCTCTTGTTCACGAGAGCCCATTGCCGTGGCTGCGCGGGGGATGGCATTGGCCATTGGTCTCCGGGAATTGGTAACCGTGTGTGATCGTGACATACTCGTGTGCGGTCGTGCGGTGGGTCCGGCGGAAGATGAGACGGTCGATTTCGTTCTTGAGACAGTAGATGCGGAGCGGCCAAGGATATTGGAGCTGTAAGTGTTCGCACGGCCGTGCGTCTTGACTGTGCTGCTGGCGATACGGGATGTTGAAGGCGCTGCAGCGGACTGGGTTGTGCTTCGTGGACGGCCCGGTTCTGATCTTGTTAGTGTCGAAACTCCTCCACCCCCGAACAAACCTCCAGGGACGTACGCGACAGGCCTGAAGTCTTACTTGTCACTGTGCCAGCGATAGTACCGGGTTGCACGAGCCCCGAGCGGGCGTTTGTTGAAGCCGGATTCATTTCCTTCAGGCCGACTGTTGGGATTCGAGTTCGTGACGACGTCTTCGACTGGATCTACTGTCGCGTTAGCCTGACTGTGTGGCCAACTGAATGCCACTTGCTATTACCATGTGATCGTTCTCCATACTGAGGGCAGGGAGCCACGAGCCCCTAACTGGTCAAGAGAATTATTAGGACGAAATTGACAGCGGACGAGGACAAAATCTGGCGCAAAGCAAGGTCGCACTCGAGACGCGTGGGATAAGCTAAGCAAGAAGAGCAATTCGCAATGGGTGGAGACGAGACTGAGACTGCAACATGCCAGGAGGAGCGGCGGCTGTGTGTAATTAAGGTGCAGGCTGGGCCGGCGTTCGGATGAAGAGGAGTTGAACCCGGCAGTAAACAGGCTATCCAAGGCCGGCCGGTGGTTTGTCTCTGTTGCAACTTGCCGTTTCTCCAGCGACGGGAGGGCGGTAAACAAATTCGGCTGACTCAGCTGCTGACTGGCGGGAGAGAGAGGCCGCGCTAGGTCAGGTGAAGACTAGTGGTATTGATCTGATTGTCGTACTCGTATTTACTCGATTCTTACCATTTTCTAAGCTTCGTTAATCAATTCGATGGAGGGGGAGGCTTTGTACAACTTCATCTGACAAGTGTCCGTGTTCACAAAAGTCACAAAAGTCAATTGCTATTGTGAAAGCTTCAGTTGTTTACATCTCTGGATACTCCATCAGACCCTTTCTCATTTGTTTCCTTGGGTACTTGACTTGACTGGACCCGTCAATCTGCGATTATTTACTCCAGTTCTGGCCCGCCCGCGCGGGTTTCCACTTGTTCCCTTCTTTCTACGGAGTAGTCTACCACTACTGAACTAGTAGCCGCTGCGCCGCCGCTGCTGCTTTGCAGACCGACCAAACCAAGAACAAGAACAAGCTTGCCTGCCCCGTTCCACCACCATCCACTCTCACTCCTCCTCTGTTCCTCCCCATTGTCTCCTGTTCTCTTGCTTCTGTCATTGCCTTGCTTCCTTTTCGTTTCTACTTCCCCCACTTCATACTATTCTAATTGTCATTTGACACACCAGCGTCATGTCTGGTCGTTTCGTGCGTTCTTCTAAGTACCGTGAGTTTCCCCCCCTACCCCCCTCCCCTCCACTTTCCCCTCCGATTGCCCGCAATCTGACAGGTAGCAGGACACGTCTTCGGACGGCCGACGAGAAAGGTGCGCGACCTCCCTTCTGATCTATCGCAACCCGAATCGATCCTCACAACTTGAACAGGAGCAATGCTATGATAATCTTCGTGTTTCCAGAAATGCCTGGGATACCAACCTCGTCAAGGTCCGGCCGCTTTCATCGCCCCTAAGCCGCCTCCGCCGGATAATCTGACCATGCGACTAGGTTAACCCCAAGTATCTCTCTGTGAACTGGGAGGCTGGTGGTGGTGGTGCTTTTGCTGTCATCCCCTTGGAAGAGCGGGGCAAGCTGCCCGAGCGCATGCCTCTGTTCCGTGGTCACACTGCTGTTGTCTTGGACACCGACTGGTGAGCAATGGCCGGCATTCGCAGTTCCGGAGGAGTAAGAGTGAGCTGACGTGGCTAGGAACCCTTTCAACGACGACCTCATCGCGTCTGGTTCCGACGACGGAAGGGTACAATAATCCGATCACGTTTGCGATACCCCATCGAACAAACAAACTAACAGGTCGCGTGATAGGTTCTGCTCTGGCGTGTACCTGAGGGATTCACCCTCTCCCCGGATGTTGATCCCGATGAGATTCAAGATGTGGCTCCTGTTGGCAAGCTTTCCGGTCACCCCAAGTATGTCTCTCATTCAAGCATCCTTGTTGCGCTTTCCTTTATAGCGCTGGGCCAAACTCGCTAACGCTATCATAGGAAGATCGGACACGTTCTCTTCAACCCCGCGGCCGAGAACATCCTGGCCACGGCTTCGGGCGACTACACTGTGAAGATCTGGGATATCGAGGCCGGCGCCCCCAAATTGACCCTGAACTTGGGTGATATCGTGCAATCGCAGTCCTGGAGCGCAAACGGTTCCCTCCTGGTCACGACCTCCCGAGACAAGAAGCTTCGCATTTGGGATGTGCGTCAAGAGCGCCCCGCGCACGAGACACAAGGACACTCGGGAGCCAAGAACAGTCGCTCCGTCTGGCTGGGTGAACGCGACCGGATCGCGACAACCGGTTTTTCCAAGATGAGTGACCGCCAGCTGGCGCTGTGGGATATCCGCGCTCCTCGCGAACCTATCAACGGGTTCAAGACTCTCGACTCCATCTCTGGTGTCTGCATGCCATTCTGGGACGAAGGCACTCAGATGCTGTACCTGGCTGGCAGAGGGTGAGTGATCCTCCGTGATAGACTTGGGGCTTATCTAACCTGATACAGTGACGGTAACATCCGCTACTTCGAGCTGGAGAACGACAAGTTCGAATACCTTGCTGAGTACAAGTCCGCCGATCCCCAGCGCGGTATCGCCTTCATGCCCAAGCGCGGTGTGAACACCCATGAAAATGAAGTCATCCGTGCCTTCAAGACCGTCAATGACTCTTACATTGAGCCTGTCTCCTTCATCGTCCCCCGCCGTGCCGAGACCTTCCAGGACGACATCTACCCCCCAACCATTGGCCTCAAGCCTGCCATGGGCCCCGACGAGTGGTTTGCTGGCAAGGAGGCCATCCCGCCCAAGATCTCCATGGCCAACCTCTACGAGGGTGAGGGAATGAAGGAAGTGACTGGAGTGCAGGAGAAGCCCACCTCTTCTTTGGATACTCCTGCTCCCGGCGCTCCCAAGGCCGAAGAGCCCGCCCCCGTCAAGAAGGAGGCCGAACCCGCCCCAGAGCCGACCCCTGTGGCCAGACCTAACGCCTCCATGAAGGACCAGGGTGCTTCCATGGCCGCCATGGTGAACAAATTCGCCGATCAAGAAGAAGAGGCTGAGCCCGAGGAGCCGTCCGCTTTCGACGAGGCCCCCAAGCCCGCCGCTCGCACTCCCGAAGCCGCCTCGCCCACCATCAAGGCCAGCCCATGGCACCAGAAGGAAGAGGAGGCCAAGACGCAACCCACTTCCTCCAAGGTACGAACAATTCCTAATCTTCTTTGCTACCATCTCACAACCCCCGCAAAACTAACGCATAAATAACAGGCCTCCCCCGCCCAAACCCCCCGCGCCGCCACCCCCACCGTCGCAGCCCCAGCCCCAGCAACATCCACCCCCTCGCCCAGTATCTCCACCAGCGCCGCCAACGCCGCCGACGCCGTGCAACGGGAGATCGGCGCCATCAAGGAGCTCATCGCCGAGCAAACCAAGACTATCGCCTCCCAGGCTCAGCAGATGCAGAGCCTGACCGCGGAGATCGAATCCCTCAAGGCTAAGCTGGGCTAAGCCTTTCCCTTTCGCTCCCTCTCGCCCCCCTTTCCCCATCTACATCACCCATAATCCCAAACTCAGCCAACCTACCTCCAATTAGGTACTGCATGTATCTATTATGACTCTCTTTTTCTTCTTAATCACGGAGCACACTGCGTTTCCCCTCAAAACCAAACCCATCAACGGACAGGACCTCTGATGTATACTGTATTGTGTGCGTGTGTGTTCATGAAATGTAACTACTTTCTCTTTTCACCTCTCAAGCTCTATCCCCCCTTTGCCGGCCCGACGGCCCCTTTTGCATAGTGATGTCTACATAACTTATAACTTGATAGAGTTGTGCATGGTTGTCTTGTTGCTAGTGTGCATATGCATGCTTTGCGTAGCTATCTTATACTCATAACAACTACATCTACGAATATCGGGGTATTCACGGATTGTAGTCATTATGCGACTCTTGATCGTGGAATCCATACTTATCGGTAGCAGCCGAATTTCATAGATGGCTATTTCATGTGAAGGTTGTGATTTTATTGTTCATACTATTCCCATCTTCGCTTTCGCTTGCGTCTTCAACCTGTGCTATGGTGCCTTGGTTGGAAACGACACAAGGAGATGAAACTATCTCTCGCCACTGGCTGCGGGTGATTCATTTACTCCGATTTAAGAGGGGGGGATGCTGCCTTTTGACCATATGAGTCTCAGAGGATGGGGACGGAAAAAGGGAAGATTCAATAATCAAGCTCAGATGGATGTCCGCTCTATATGCTCTTTGTCAATGGGAAGAATATGGAGGATGTGAGAGGATGATAGGTGGTATGATATGCAGAGGGTGGAAGGGGCGTGGGAGGGAATGAGATGAATCTGGAGATTGTGACGGAAATTCAATCAATGAAAAGAGATGAGCTGTCTCTTTGTTCGACCGTAGTCATGATATGGCAGTCGAGCAGGGAGGTGGACAACTACCACCGGCCTGCTTCTCTCTCCTTCTCCACCCGGGCGGCACGAGCATCGTCCGTCTCCTCATCCTCATACTTGTAACTGAGACGGCGGCCACCACTCAACCCGCGACCGTCCCGCTTCCGCGACGACGAGGATTTGCCGCCATCCCTGTCTGCGTGCATGGCCTCGCGACGCTGCTGCTCCTTGAGCATGCGCTCGCGGTTCCGGGCTTCGCGCTCCAGGGTGTGCGGGTCTTTCTCGGGCTCGCCCGATTTGGCGGCGGCCGAGGCCGTGGTCGCCTTCTCGCGCAGGCGGTCGCCACCCTCGTCGTCACGACCACGTTTGTCCCTTCGGGAGGAGTGGTGGCGAGAGGAGTATTCACTGCCAGCAGGGGATCCGGAGCGGTCGCGGCGGGAGCGCTTCCTGTCGCGATCTCGATCACGGTCACGATCACGGTCCCTGTCACGATCCCGGTCACGGCGGTCTCGATCACGGTCTCGGTCACGGTCCCGATCACGATCACGATCTCTATCTCTGTCGCGTTCACGGTAGCGATCCCGATCCCGGTCGCGGTCACGAGTACGATCGCGGTCCCGGTCCCGGTCCCGGTCCCAGTCGCGGTCTCGGTCACGGCGCTTGGAGTCACGGTCCCGATCCCGCTCGTCGTCGTAGCGGCTGGAGCGGTCTCTACTAGCCCGATAGCTGTCGCCCGTCTTGCTGCGGCCGTTGTCTTCAGGGATGGCCGAGAGCCGATCGGCGGTGGTGGTGCCGGCGGCATCATCCCCATTGCGGTTGGGGCTGCGACTCCAGCTGCGGTGGCGACGGGAGCGATGCGATCGTCGACCATTGCGCCTGTCCCGGTCCCTATCGCGACGGCCGTGGGCAGTCGAACGGCGAGAATCGCGCGAAGGAGAGCGGGTGCGATGGCCGTCGTCTGCACCGGACGCCTCGTCGTACTTGTCGTCGCGACGGGGTCGTCTGGGTCGCTCGCGGCGTCGCTCGGGATCGTCTCCAGGCATGTCCACGCTGGTGGAGCGTTGCCGATACGAGCGACGAGCGTCCTGTTGGGAAGGAGGCTGGGGCGATTGTGACCGGCTCTTGGCTCTGGATGTCGACCTCGGTCGTGACCGTGAGCGGGAGGTTGATCGTGGTCGCTGATCGTCCTGAGTCGGCGTAGCGCTTGCGCTGGGAGAAGGACGGTTAGTTAAGAGTTGAGCTAAGCAGGTTGAGAGTTTCGTTTCTCACCTATGAGGGGTCGCTCCGAAGGGCTGCGCAGATGAAGCCCCGGATCGTGCCCCAGAAAGCTGGAAATTACGCTGTCGGAGAACGCTGGTGTTGGGCAGACCCTCTCGCATGGCTCGAGGCGCGGCAGGTGCGCCTTCCACGCCTTGACCGCGAGGCTCGGGATACATTGCGCTGACACCAGCTCCCATGAAGGAAGCTCCTCCTCGTCCTCCACCAGAGAAGGCGCCACGCATGAACCCTCCGCCTCTTCCAAAGCTACCTCCCATCGGTCCTGGCACTGGCACTGGCATTCCCATGGGGAAGTTCGACATCGCCTGCATGGCATTGACTTGGTCTAGACTATCAATGGTGGGGATGCCCTGAAGCTGAGTCTCCTCCTGTGCCGAAGTCTCCTGTGCAGCAGCAGCAGCAGCAGCAGCAGTAGCATCTGAATCAGTGGGATTCGATTCACCATTTTCAGCATTTCCCTCGGTGGCTGTGCCATCATTGGGCACATTATCGTCATGTGTGTCGACCACTTCACCGTTAGGCGCTGATTCGTTGACCTCCTGAGCGTCTCCTTGAGCGAACTCCCCAGACATATCAGCAGCGCCATCCTGCGACTGAGCGGCCGCCATGTCCGGGTTCATATTAGAGGCATTATGGTTAGGGAACGCTGGGTAGTTAGCATTAGGGGGGTAAGCGGCCTGCATATGTCCACCAGCAAGACCGCCGCGGCCACGACCACTAGGGAAATATCCACCACGACCGCGACCCCGAAAATTGCCTCTGCCATACCCCGAGCCATACGACCCGTTCTGATAATCTTGGCTAGGGAATTGTTGCTGCTGCATTTGAGCAAGGTTGGGTTGAGACATATTATATCCACCGAAGCCAGAGGGGCCCCCGTATTGCGGACCCATACCATTTGCGAAAGCATTTGGATTGAATTTATCTTGGCCTCCATTCCACATATTGTTCTGTGAGCCGTCCCATCCCCCATACATCCCCTGACCCGCGTCGAAACTCATTCCCATGTTCATACCATTCATGTTCATCCCGTAGCCCCCAAACATACCCTGATTCGCGGCCATCGGGTCCATCGCCATTCCAGGCATTCCTGAAGTAGCATGTCAGTAAAGGAATGGCAGACAGAGATGACAGGGCGGAGACTGACCCATGGGAAAATTGAACATGCCATTGTTCATATACTGGCTCATCGGATTGAAGCTTCCGGCGTTCCAGCCCATGTTGGGAAACATGCCGGCGCCCGCGTTAAAGCCCATACCGTTGGGAGCCACTGACCCCGGCTCGCCGCCCTGAGAGATATCTTCCTCGTTGGCCTGAGCGGATTGGTTCTCATCGGTCGGACCATCCTCCCGAGCTCCGTCTTGGGCGGTTTCATCTGAGTGATCCGGTAAAGGCGCTGAAGAATTCTCGTCATTTTCGCCCTGCAAGAATATCGTGTTAGCAGGGCAAACTATACTTGTTTCGGAGGCCTACCAGAGCAAAAGCCTCAGCAGGTTCGCTGCTGATGGCGTTGTCCGCATTGGGCTCTGGATCGTTAGATCCAGTAGTGGGCTCTTCAGTGACATTATCAACAGGAGCAGTGCCAGATGCCGGACCGTCCTCTGCGGGCTGATCCCCAGCACCAGTCGCTGCAGCCGGAAGTTCCTGTTGAGCTGGAGTCGCATCCGCGGGCGTCGCCGGCGTCGCCGACTGTCGTTCCTTCTCGCGCTTCTTTTCCTCGGTGCGAAGGAAGGCCTTGAGGGTAGTTCGAAGGGCTTTGTTCGGTTTGCATAGATCAGAAGAGAGGGGCGTATGCGCGCAGACGGGGCATGTTTCGGGGAGAGACACTTGGCCTGATCATTGCGGATTAGTTGAGACGACTGGGAAAGAATCAAACTGGAAGAGGTCGCGCGTACAGTTCTCGCAAATGGCTTGATCGCAGCACGGAAGGCGGAAAGCGTTCACAGCCAGTTTATTGCAAATGGCGCATCGCAGCTTGAACGGAATCTCATCCTGCGTCAATGAGCTGCCCGGCGCAGGGAGGGCTGATCAGTCATCACGGTAAACAATATAACGAAGACACAAAAGATCTAGCCTACCTGGCGATATCCATCAGGCCCGAAGGCTGGTCTGCGACAGCCATCGCGAAGATCACCACCGGCTCTTTTCTGGAGGGTAGTGGAAAGAGAAGAGATCAATCAATGGGGACGAGAGACGTCCGGGCGACTGATGTTAGGAGAAAAGAGAGGTGGAAGCCAGAATGGCGAAGATAAACCACATGCTCAGTGCGCCATCAACGGGAGACAAGGGCCATGCCTGCTGGCGTCACCACAAGTGAAGTAATGTTGTGATTTGGGGAAGATTAGCTCAGGTGGTGAATAGCGATCGCGATGGGATCACGCATTTGCCTGCCGGGACCAAATTTGGAGGGTCGGACAGCGGGCCGGAGCGGAAGAATAATACTTCCTCCCCGGTCCCGGTCTCGGTTTCATAACTGAGTCTCAGCTCGCTCTCTATCAACCACTTGAAACACCCACCACCTGCAGAGGAGGATAAGTCACCTCGTTTGACTCAACTATAACTCTATGTATTCTTCTCGAATCCAACAGCAACATTCGCAAAGCAAACCAAATTGAACAAGTACTCTATGGGTCAAGAAGCTTACAGTCCCCAACCCCTTCGTACTCTTGATTAATCTTATTTGACTATCAGTATGTACATGTACAACCTAAATACCGCTCAGAACGTGTTGTTGTTGTCGATCGCACGCGTCTGATACATCTACAAGTACTGTATTAAGACATGTCATGTTGGTGACGATTAATCTACACCGCCCGGCGTTTACGGCGTAATCAGTGTTATAAGATTCGCTACATTGATCCCATGTACGGCAAGGCTCACGACAGAGCAGCAACATCATGAAGGATGAGAAATTGGTTGCAAGTGAGTAAGCACTAGGCTATGCGCACCTGGCAGCCGGAATTGTCCTCCCTTCCGGTGACTTCCAATCTACCTATGAAGGATCGCAAGGTGTTCATCAACCCGCATGCATCCCAAGTTCTCATTCCATTAACACGCAAAACACTAGGCAAGGCAACAGGGACAGGCACCACAAAACAATTAAGCAGCACATGGTCAGATTAGATCAAGTTAATTTTATGCCGTCAGTGACTGAGGATGGCTAGAACAAACTGGCCAACAACGAGAGATCCCCCCAACAATGGCGATACCCACAAGTTGCGGTTTCTGCCTGATTGTCGGGTCTCTCGCGCCCCTCTGGAGTCTCAAGAGCTCTTTGTATCATCATCAAGTGCCGTGGGTAGTAATGGTGGTGCCTTATTTGAAGGCAGGAAAGGGAAGGGGGGGGGGGGGGGGGAAGGGTATTACCCCATGATCAATCATGATCACGAAGGGGAAGTAAATAAACACAGAACACCGCAAAGACTATGAAACTATGGCTCAGCTCTTCCATGCAAGAGTTGAGTTGAAATGTATCAAATCACCTGTATGACTCCCCTCCCCCCGAAAAAAAAGGGCATAGGCTGTGTTAAGGTAGACAGGCGTCGGAAGCAGGGATGAATTTGCATCATCGACCTCGCTGACTCGACGGAATGAATCACGCGCGGTAAAGGTAAATGCAGTCAAGATCCAATCAGTGGGTGAACCAGATGCCGGAGTTCTACGGGCGGGGTGGCAAGGAGGAAGTGGTTCGTTCGCTGGGGAGTGGGAGGCTGCGGCTGTGGTGACTGGGTGGTTGTAGTCATCGTCATCAAGCCTGCAGAAGTTGAGGTGAGGTGAAAGAAAGGGAAAGAGGGTGGGTGTGGTGGATGGATGAGTGATAGGGCTATCTATTTTTCCAACTGACCAGTTGAACCCAGGTTGAAGGAAGTGGGAGAGTTGAAATTACTCGGAGTGCTCGAGAACTGGCTGCCAAAAGAAAAAAGCGAAAAAGGAACAAGGAAAAAGAAAAACGAAAACGAAAAAAGAAAAAGAAAAAGTAAGGACGAAAATAGGCAAAATCAGGCCTAGCGTTGCAGGTGTAACGGAGGCGCAGGGTTAAAAAGGGCGGCCGCTGCTCCCCGGAAGGAAAGACACCCGGACCTTCTCTTGTCTGGCTGCTTGTAGCTGCTGTAGCTGCTGTAGCCACCTCCCCGGTTGCTCTTGGGCACACGCACTTTGCTGGCTCTTGACACTACTTTACACCACTGTTACCGTATTGCCCACCTCCCAAAACACAACACAAGGGACAAAAGCTCGGGCCATCCGCTGCGCGCGATCTACAAAAACATCCCCTTCCTATCCTCTTCATTGTTCGACAATTCTTGATTATTATTATTATTATTATTATTATAGTAATAATACTAATCATCAAGAAAAACACATCGAGTTCTTGACTGTCTCTCTTTGATATGATCATCACTCAAAGGTTTCATGTCTTTCTAAAACCAGACTGAACCTTTTCAATATTCTATTGATTCTTCACTTCTTGTGACCCTCGAACACGATTTCCACCAAGTTTACTACTGGCGGTAAAGGTACGAGAAGAACCAGTTCCCCATATTTATTCTATACTAGTCTGTTTTTTTCTTGCTTCTAGGCGCGCACGCGCATTATTTTGTCATTGTCTTGTTCACAAAAAAAAATAAGTAATAATAAAAAACCCCGTTTAATCCCCACAGGCGATGACCGAACAAGACAATTCCTACCGACCACGATCCCCTGATTTTTCCACCTTCCAATCCCCCATCTCCCCTTCCGTCAACCACTCCGTCTACCCGTTTGGGAATCCGCTCGCCCATCGCGCTTCCTACGACGCCTCACCTTTCTTCACCCCGCAGTATCAACAACAACCCTCGGCCCCGCCAAGCAGGGTTCCCCAGCAATACAATCAATATAATCTCTATCCCTTCGCCGACGCGACACATTTACACCCGGATATGGCTCGCCGTTCGACGCGTATCGCCCACCAGGCCGCCGAGGTCGCGCCGCAGCCCATATCCAAATACATCGACCCGGTGGTCTCGGAGGAAGAGGAGCCTGTCCGACCTCCTTCTCCTTCTCCTCCCCCACCTGCTCCTGTTGTTGCTCCCGTGGCGGTCCCCGTCGAGGTCAAGACCAAATTCCCCGTTGCGCGCATAAAGCGCATTATGCAGGCCGATGAAGATGTCGGCAAAGTCGCGCAGGTTACGCCAATTGCTGTCTGTACGTACAATTCATCCTCCGTACGTCTCGCGCTTGTTGTGAAATTTGTACTAATCTTTTGTTTTTCTTTCTCTCCCCACAGCGAAAGCCCTCGAGTTGTTTATGATCTCTCTCGTCACCAAAGCCGCCAAGGAAGCCAAGGATCGCAACTCCAAACGCGTCACTGCCTCGCACCTCAAACAAGCCGTGGCCAAGGACGAGGTACTTGACTTTCTGGCAGATATCATTGCGAAGGTGCCCGACCAACCGGCGAGTCGGAAACATGAAGATGATGGCAGTGATCAGAATGAACAACCGAAACGAAAGAGAGGTGGCCGTCGACCTAAAGATGACAGCGATTGATTGGTATTGGGCAACGGTTCTCCGGCGCATTTTCATCTGATGATTGATTCTGTACTTTTTTGTTTTTTTTTTTCTCGCTTTCTTTATTCGTGGACTATCTGCTGGGCTATTCTCTAGACCGGAATGGAGAACGGGCGCATACTATACTCTCTAGGCGTTGCGGTGGTGGGCATGGGTGGGCTTGCATCTCTCGCGATGTGAACAGGTACTTTATTCTTTTGGCTCTCTTTCTGTACTCGCTTCCTTAGGTGGGGATTGGGGATTTCGCTCTTGTCCTTTTTCTACGTCCTGGTTGATGTGACAATCTCAGTGAGTGTGACAAAATCTCTTTGTACTGTAGAATAGGTACTCGTTGGTTGCAGGTGTTGAGCGTCGACTGGAACTGGCGCTCGAAATGCGACGAAGAAGAATACTTACTAAGGTACACACTGCACTGCACTTGATAAGGTTTCCTTGGAACGTCGCAGTGGAAACACGACTAAACCCGTTCGGGTGGCATCCGGGTCCGCATCAGACTAACCCCTTTTAGGTGCATGTTTGGGCCTGAGTTCCAGCCCCAGGCACTCGCTCAACTTAGTACTGCTGCTGCTGCTCTTGCCTTCTTCCTGCACATCGTTAACCTTCCCCCCCTCCGACTCTCCATCCCCTCCCCCTCCTCCACGCTCACTGATCATGTTTGAGACATAGTATCATGCTGGTCCTTCAGAATCATGGACTTTGTATGTTTGACTCTTTCCTCGTATTCTAAGTCCTCGTCATTTCCGTCAAAGCAAACAAACTGATATAACGCAGTGGTCTCGTATTATCGGGGGCTCCCGCTCGCTCTCTACTAAGAGCTTTCGGGCAACTACTCCCACAGAGCGATTGACCTCGTTCAAGCGAACGTGTAATACTCTACAGGTATACCATTGTCTTTGGTGGGAGCAGCTCGCGATCTCACGCTGATCTTTCTAGCAAATATGGCGCTCCAGCAATTCTCCCTCCGGCGAACAGTCCGCGACAGTCAACGCGCGCAACTGCATTGATCGGCTGATTTCCGTCCTGAGCGACGAGTCCCGTGGCCCAGCCCCTCATCCATGCCTCGCATACGCCTCCTCCTCGCAGATCTTCGTCACCGTCACCAAACTCGCCCTCTCCTCCTACGACGATGGCATGCTCCGCTCTGCGACCGTGTTCTTCAACACTCTGATCGATTCTGAGGTCGACGGGGTGGTCGATAACCGTCTCTTCGCGCGGGCGCTGGTGGATCTTGTCCGGCGGGCGGACAAGCATTCAGAAGATGTGGAAGGGAGACTCGTCGAGCTTCTATTCGGGGTGGCCAACAACATCCGCCTGCAGCCCAATATCCTTCCGGCGTGGTTCGCTCCCCGATCCGACGAGCAGGTACGGGAACAGCAGAGTACCAACGGGGCGGAGTTTGCCGGTGCCATGAGAAAGGATGACTTTCCGCTGTTCTACCTGCTGGTGGAATATGTGCACCACGCGGGCCGCGCTGGCGATTTCGCTCGCACCGGTCTACTTTACCTGATCGAGACGGCGTCGAGGTCGAAGAATCTCGAGCGATGGCTGATTGAGAGCGATCTGGCGACGTTGATGGCAACCGGTCTGGGCGCGCTGTACAGCCAATTGGGAAGGTGCGTGTGCAATCATGGATGGGTGTTTCAGGTCTGCCAGGCCTAATTAACCATGCCGATTTAGCTTGACGTTCCCTGAGAACACAGATGAGAACATTCCGCATATCGTCGCTCTTTCGGACCATGCCAATCAAGAAACGGCTCTTCCCCCGCTGCTCGGCCCGTCGATGGACTCGTTTATGTCGTATCTACTGTTTTGGCAGGACACGATCGACCACTGCAAGTCGGCCGAAGTGAACGGGTCACTGTTGGATCATTTCCAGGTACTGTTCCTGGAACAGCTGCTGTAAGTCATTGTCTACCCAAGGTGACTTGTTGTTATACTGAGTATGCCCCCAGGTACCCATCGTTGCTCGAATCTTCAGACGTCGAGGGCGGTTCGACGGCCGCGGTACTTACCTATCTCTATCGGATTCTAGAGTCGGTGAATCAAGAAGACCTTGTACACCGGATTCTCCATTTCCTTCTTGCCTCCCCCTCGGACTCAGAGCCCGTCACCATCGACATGTCTGCCAGTCGACGGAAGTCACTAGATGTGTTGGCTGCGTTTTCCGAAGAAGCCGCGAGACCTTCACCATCCTTATTCAACCTCCGAGACCTGACTTTGCTTGGACTTCAGTCGGCTAATCGTCAGACCACTTTGGCGACACTGCGTCTCATGACTGTCGTGCTACAGAGACATCACTCTTTTGCACGGTCGTTGGTCCGGACCGTCCCAGGTCAATATGCCAAGCAGCGGACCGTGGGCGCTCTGAACGTCGAGCTTCAAGGACTGCTGGGCATGGCTACGTCAATAGTCGACGACCCGACATTAAATGATTCTTATGACAACTACCTGAAGGATGGGCTAGCGATCCTAGAATCCCGCCTTTGTATGGCCCTTTCGGAGGACAACCCAGAAGACCACCTTCCTCTCGAACTTCGACAGGATGACCCTATCGTGCACGAGCTGCTCCACCGCCTGGGAAACTTCTTCACCAATAGTGTAGTTGTGAACCTAGCCCTTACAGAGGTCTTGGGGAGTATCGTTGCATCACATTTGATATCTCTTGATGGATGGCTTCTAGTAGATCCGGCGAAATATGTCTACACAGCCGAAGAAACGGGCGCATCCAATCTTCTCGACCAAATCAAGCATGCTTACGAGGAACCAACGTGGGATCAAGCCGACACGCCGGCTCTCAAGTCGACCCTTCAGAAGCTCGTGCAAAAAATCCAAACCTGGCGTCAGGAGATTCCCGATTTCGATATCCTTGTCGCCGCGCGCCGGGACCTACTCCATCAGGACGATGAGCCGGCCCAGACCCCCAACCGTTCACAAGGGGGCTCCCAACCGCCCACCCGCTCTCCCTCACAACGACCGATCCCGCGCGTTGAATCTGAATACGGCTCACCAACGCCCAGAGGCAGGCCCTCTAGTCGACCCTTCGATCGAGCCACCGCCAGCCCCTCCCCAACTCGGAATAGCTCCAGGGACTTTTTCTCCGCCCAAGACCCTCCCTTCCGACCCCCACGAGAAACCTCTGTCGCACGGAAGAATGCCGCCGACGAACTCCGTCGACGGCTCGAGCAGCCATTCGCAGTGAACCCTCTTACCCCAGGTGAAACCATCACCACCGTCACCACCGACAACCTAACTGGACCCACTCCAACTGAGTCCACCTCGGCTGAGGGTGGGAGTTCCGACACCGCTCAGACCCTGGCCCCAACTCCGGCATCCGAAGGTGTTCCTGCGCCTGATGAACCCCCCACGAATTCAGCCGTCCTCGACGAAGAGGATGACCAGCAGGAAGCAACCTTGGGCCATGTGCTGACCAACGTGATCTTATTATATGAGTTTCTCCTCGAGGTCTCAGCCATCGTCCAAGCACGCGGAACCTTGTTTGAGGAGGCCGGATACCCGGGTCTGGGGATTGCTCCAGCAGCGGCTCCCCTCGAGATAGAATAGTCCTCAGCCACCAGTTCGGAGAATTGGGGAGGCAACCGGTTCACAAATCTGGGCAGGTCCTGTGTGAACGAGATCAATAACGGTGACAAGGGTTATATGTATGTTCTATCTACGGCTCGATGTTTTGGTCCGAAGAGTCCTAGTTATGTGTTTACTTTCGTCGTATCTGTCTTAGTATATCATGGTTAGGGCTAGGATATATCAACCGAGGGGATCGAATGGATGTACAGTATTGCCATGTCTATATCAAGAGTGTTTCATCACTCTTTTTCTCAGTATTCCAAGCATTAGAGCCGTTTCGAAGCTTATTGCGCCTGATTTCAGGCCTCAGGTGCGTGTTGTCCGTTTCCTTACACATACACATACTAAGTCCCCATTCCCAAATATATAGTAAGCGTCGCGCACGTCACTAGGAGTTGCTAGATTGTCGTCCGTAATTGAGCACCTCCAATAAGCCAGGGTTCTATATACTGGCTTGCTGGCTTTCTGTTGACAGCTCTTCTCAATGCTAGTGAGCTCTTCATAGGTATCTAGAGAGGGTTCCTAATGGGGGCGGGGGCGGGGGCGGTCCACCTTCTAGCAAACCTACTCATAATTGACCGTCATCATCATCATCATCATCATCGCAGCAGATATCTCCGATCTGCATCGCAAGTACCTTCGCCTTGGAGCAGAGAGTTGTACATACATATTGCCATATACAACGATACCTGTGTTGCGACGCCATGGATAGACACCGCTTGAACGATGACCCGCCTGTATTATATACCTCCAGAGAGACCATACATACACCCAGCACCTGACCCCGAACGTCCCTACCTCCCTACCGTCTTACCTAGCTTCCTACCTGCTTACCTCTCTGCCGTAGCAAGGCCTAGCCATAGCAATGACCATAGCTCCGGGTAAGAAGCAAGAACCCCCGGAATCCCCGAATCCATAGGTTGAGGCGTAAGAACAATCGGGCCACCGCCACCACTAGACACAGACACCCGCATGCGTACGCTCACGCTTTCCCATTAGCTGGAGACCGTCCACTCCCACCCTACACACCATTCAGGTCCCCACGAATCTCATTCCACATACAGACTTACTGACAGTCCCTCGAATCTGAGACTGCACTAGCATGACCGAGGAAAACGAAGGACGAAGAAGAAAGAATACATTCCACGAGGCTCCACTATCAGGAGAATACCGGGTTCATTTCATACACAACATGGGCTTTGGACCAGCACGTGAGAAAGGGAAGGAAGACAAAGGCCAGGCTAACCCTACCAGACCCACCTGCCCCGCGTCCACACGCGGACGAAATCCACCTTCTCCTTCACGCCCAGCCCGACCCTCTTGACGCGGGCCAACCGCGCCAGCGAGTCCGCGACGTGGTCGAGGAGCGCCGCGTCGGAGACGCCCGTCGCCTCCGGGGAGGACGAGGCGCTGCGGGTCGAGGCGTCCAGCGTGTCCAGGTAGTTGGTGTCGTAGTTTCTGCGGGTCGACGAGCCGGTCGATGCTGCGGCGGTTGTTGAGGTTGAGGTTGAGGTGGTAGGCGTCACGCCGCCGGCGATGCGGACGCGGATGCAGTGCGTGGGTTTGCTCAGCAGGTTCCACAGGAAACTGAGGTAGCTGCCGGGCAGCGGGGTGACCACGTCGACGGGGGTGTAGCGGAGACTGATGGGGTAGATCTTGGTGGCGGGCGGGGTGGTGAGCAGCGCCGGGCTGAGGGGCAGGATGGCGCGGCCGTTGGTGGTCGTGCACTCTGGGAAGGTGACGAGGGCGCGGCCGGGGTACTTGCGGAGGAGGGCGTCGAGGGTGGTGAGCTTGTGGGCTGGGGGTGCGGCGGGCCGCGGGGCGCTGAAGGCACGCAGGATCGCTTGGAAGAGCGAGATCTGTTCGACTTCCGAGGTGTTGGGGTAGCAGGCTGTGAAGATGGGGTCGAAGATCGCGGCCAGGTAGAGCGGGTCGATCGGGGAGGTGAAGGACGAGGCGATGATGGATCGCGGGCCGGGGAGGCGGGTCTGGTCTTGTCTGTGCAGGGATCTAGAGGCAGTTAGACTTGAGGGATTGATGTTCGTGCGGGATGTTGTTGTAGGTTGGAGGAGGTTCTGGCAGATGGCAGATGGGCTGATTCTGAAAGACATCACCCACCCGCCCACTTTGCACTCACCCTTTTCGCACACCGTCCACCTGCAGATCGATCCACCAGATACTAGGGATCCCCAGAATGCACCAGAGGGAGGCCTTCTTGCCCAGCGATCCGATCGGGAGCCATTGTAGCACCAGGAAGTAACTCAGACAGGCGAACACAAAGAGCGGCAGTCGGATCCAGAACAGCACAATACGGACGGGGATCTGGAGGTAGCTGATGGGCTGAGGAGGGATGGGGAGGAAGGGTGCAATGCCCGAGCCTGGTAAAAGTCAATTTCTGAGCCCGGCAGATACCGGGACAGGTACGGAATGCTGACCTCGATCTCGGAATTGGGTGAATTTCTCCATGGTTCGGTAGGAATGGTCGTGTGATGGTGGTGGTGGTGGTGGTGGTGGTGGAGGAGAGTGGTGGGTTATGGGGGAGGTTGTGTGATCGCCAATTTGGCCATGTGCTAGCACATTACCAGCAGTTTGCCTTTAGTAATAAGTAGGATCTAAACTAGGTTTGAACCTCGAGTGAGAAAGGAAGAGAGAGGGTCGAGGAGCAAAGCTTGTTGAGCTCAACTGTTGAAGTTGGAGTTGGTGATTCTCACATGTCCACAACAATGTTCAGGTCACAATCCCACTAGCCTCCTTTGGGATGAGGCCGGCCATGACGGACTAAAAGCCGAGGCTCAGCCACATTTCCCTTTTGGGAGTGCTGCACATCGCAACTCGTTCATTGTTGATCACGGTATAGCTATAAGACCACGGCATAATTGTCTGTCATTGATGGAAAAACTATACCGTGTTTTTCTTCCTAGGCTAGAGCCCCACTGGCACGTGGTTGACATGACTGCCGGACATGACGTTCAGCAGCATCATCGCCATATCTCAAGCGTACATGGTTAACAATCTGTATCTATATTCAAGCCCATTTATACAACATTTAAAATTTTATACAAGAAGGATAATGATACGAGTCGCTCAATAAATTCGCCTCTCATGAACGAGGCAAGCGGAACATATAAACCGCCACTCCCACCATCATGAACGCCGTGGCAGTCATCATCCACGCCAGGCCAATCCACCGCCCTCCCAGCTCCAGCCCAATCTGAAACACGGTCGTGATCGACAGACTGGCAATCACGTTGCCCATCGACTGCAGGACCTCGATGATCGTGAACAGCCGCGCCGTCTCCTCCCGCTTCACCAGCGTCGTGATCAACGAGCGCGTCAGGAAGACGAACCCGGACCCGGAGGTCTGCAGCAGCAGACTCGGGATCAGCATGTACACGTGGCTCGAGAGCCCGATCCCCAGGGTCCCGACTGCCAAGAAAACGATGCTGATGCGCATCAGGGTCAGATCCTTCTGCGTGGGCTTCATGGACTTGAGCAGGCGTCGCGAGATGGCCGGGAGGACGAAGAGGAATAGCGGGATGGTCAGGGCCGGCTTGAAGGACATGAGGAAGTTGGCTTCCGCCAGAGTCCACTTGAACCGGGTGGAGATGTACTGCACCAGAAACCAGGACGAGCCGCGGCTGAGTCGGTAGACGAGGAACGCCGTCAGGAGGAGCATAATCTGGCGGTTTTGTACAATGAAGGCGTAAGGAGCGAAATAGGCCTGGACCCGACGTTTTACTGCGGCGAAGAAGGTCCGTCTGGTTGCGGTAGCGGTGGCTGCACCGCTCTTCTCATCGACGTGCGACTCCCCCGGACCAGAGTCCTCGTCATCACTGGACACCTCCTGCTCCTGCTCTTTGCTCGGGACGGATTTATATTCGGAGTGGCTGGTGAAGATCTGTCCGAGTTCCAGATTATTCGACTTCTTCGACCCACGCCCTGGGAAGGCGCCCATGGTCTCCGGCAAAGACAAGGCGAAGAACATCCCAATGATAGCGAGAGCCCATCCCAGCAACAAGGGCAGCCACGGATCGAGGGCCATCAGCCACGAGCTGGCCGCGCTGGACGCGAAATCAGCCCCCATGCCCGCCACCCCAAACTTGAAGAAAATCGCCGCTCTAACGAACTAATCAGCTAGAAAAACAGCTAAAAAAATCGCAACAAACATACCGTTCCTCTTCAGTCGAGACATCCGACATCATCGTCCAGATAATCGCAAACGCGACGACAGGTCCCCCGCCCAGCAGCCAGGCCAACGACGACGCCCACACGGTTCGCAGGGGGAACGTATCCGGGAACCACATGACAGCCAGCTGCATGAGGCAATTGAGAACGAAGCCGGGGATGCTCAAACAGATGGTGGATTTCCGTCCGAATCGGTCCGCCATCAGACCATAGGGGATTGCCAAGATAGCACCTGCGGGTAGAACATGAGCAAGACGATTCACACGCGCGCCAACAACCGCACCCATTTCGCAACCAGATGAGAGGTGCCAACGACAAGAATAGGAAATAACAAAGGGAGGACGAGTCAGGGTCATCAGGCAGGTATGGAAACATACTCAAAGTCCCGTCGAAAAACTCCATGTACCCCTTGACGGCGGCCAGATCCTGCTGGACCTCCTTGATCTTGCACAGATCCTCGTCGACCTGCCCGTTGGCGCCGATTTGCGTTGGGTCGTACTGCGCATAATACTCGCGGCAGGCGATCGACTCGAAGATGCGGGTGACGGGCCCGTTGGACATGCAGATGCCGACCTCGACGGCGAGGATCATGGCGAACAATGTCACCATGAGGCGAAAACGGATCTTCTTGTTGACCAATTTGACATCCTCCTCCTCATCCTCCTCTTCCTCGTGGTGGTGGTGGTGGTGGTGCGAGTCGTCACTCTCATCCCCATCGTCATTGTGCTTGTGGGCTGCATTGGTCCGGTGAACGTTGGAATCGGAGGCGACGCCGGCAGCAGCAGCAGCCGACAGAAACGGGGCATCCTCGCGGTCGAGGGATTCTTTGAACTGGGTCGACATGGCTTTCTCTCAGCTCCTATGGGACCATGGCCCGTCCGGATCGGATAGAGAGAAGGGGGAGGACAGCGGCGTGTGGTGAAAGGACAAAAGGGCTTTTGTATATATACGAAGGAAGAGGAAACAATTTTACATGTGGACAAAATTTCAAAATCTATCCATCTAATCACGCAAATACTCAAATCGAGCCATTTTTGGGGGGCATTGGGAAGAGGAGAAGGGGGGAGGGACATTCAAGAGAACAGAGAGGGGGGAAAGGGAGGGAGGGGGTGGGGAGGGAAGGCAGACTGAAGATGAAACCTCCGGGATAGGGAGTTAAGAAAGAGAGAAAAAGGACAGTCAGGGTTCATTATTACATTTCATTGCAGTACGGAGTAGAAGACAAGACAAGCCCAGCCTGGCCCCAGTCTCCGCCAAGCGGGAATTCCAGTTCCAGTTTTTTTCTGTTCTTATTATAATTGCCAGTACCAGAAGGTACACATTCTGATAAGAACTCCACTGCAGGCATGCTCAAACCCTACTAAGACCACCTATGGCAGACTAGCTGTCAATCCGGAAATGGGGCCAGGTCTCCTATTTTGAGACGGACTTTTTGGGGCGGAAGAGAGAGAGAGCCCTTGCTCGTCGGCAGGATGGACACCACGGAGATTCCTCGAGAACCGGCGGGAACCTCGGGAGTAATCGAGTGTCGCATCTTGTGTCAATTGGGAGAGTTATTGTGACGGATGCGGTGTGGTCCCGACGAAACAGAACATGAGTCTACAGCACTGTAGGACTGTAGTGCTGATGATGCGGAGCTGGCGCGTCCTCGGATGCGTACGGCAGGCAGCCAAGGCATCAACTAAGGAGGCAGCCTTCCGCGAGTGCAGTGCTTACCCAGAGGGAAAGCGCTGCGTAATTGGTAGTATGAATGTACTGTACGGAGTATTCATCTGGGTGTTCGTTCAATAGGAAAACCATGCTGACTTCAAACCGTCCTGACTCCTGACCCAGTCGATCAGGCTGCTGATCGAAGCGAGACTCTTCATTGGACTGAAATGATCGATTACACTGGTTTGGTCTATCCAGGGGCTGATACTGACTCAGCAATCTCCATGCGATACTTACCTAGTACTCATGTAACTACCGGCCCACCCTGTGCCCGCTAAGCCTAAGACGAACGTCTAGACTCCACCGCCCGGGTAATTCTGCCCTGCCAAACATTCCAAACGATTGTCTTGGTGCGTCTGGCCGCTTGCAGGCTCAACATTCTATCGGGATGCTCCAGCTCCAGCCAGCCAGCCAGCCAGCCAGCCACAAATGCCAATCAACTATCATAAAACAGATGAGACTTTCTGCGAGATGATGTTGGGTATATCTAGCTCTCTCAATGGGTGTTCCTCGCCTCGCTGGATTAACTTCCATGTAGCAGCCTTGGAATGTGCACTCGATGCTGCATCGTGACTGATAAATGCCTCTAGAATGATGTCTCTTCTCATTCTTCCCTGTCTTCCGGGCTGGAAGTGACTCAAGATAAGATCTATCAAACCATTACAATTAGTGGTAATTGAGAACAGAACGCTCGACCAAATTACACTAATACAAGCATGGCCTAACAAGTCTAATGCCTATAGCTTCGTTGTGGCAACTATCTCTCCGTGGAAAAAGAGAGGTCTAGACTGAGGAAAATCACAAAGTCGCGTCGTTAGCGGTTGGGATCGTCTCTCGGAGTCACGCCGTCAAATCATGAGAAATGCAGACACAAAACAGAAATAGAAAAAGAAAGAGGGGGAAAAGTAATGGTTAAAACAGAAAGATAAGAATGGTAACATGCAGATCCAAGAGGCCAGCTCTAGGGCACTTCTTTGTCTCCCCTCTTCAGCCCCCCGGGCACATCAATCGCGTCCTTCACCCATGGCAAGGACGCGATCTCGTCTAGACTCTTCCTCTTGGTGTTGCGTTTTAAGAGTCCCTCCACGCATTCTCGCGCGCCTTCCAGATCGCTGCCCTTGGAAGGATCCCACTCGCCGTCACTGTCCGCATACCGATACCAGGACCACTCCACCCGCGCGATGCGATGGGGGGTCCGTGCGCGCAATTTCGCCGGGTCACCTCGAGTACCCGGCAAGGCGTCGAACGGCAGCCGGTTCTCCATCATCGCATACAGTAACACGCCCAACGCCCACGCGTCTGTTGACCGTCCATCATACGATTGGCCCATCAAGATCTCCGGCGCCGCATAATCCTCGCTGCCACATCGGGTTTGTAGGAGTGGGCTTTCCGGAGGCTCGGGTATCCGTCGGGATAGACCCAGATCGCTAAGGGTCACGATAGCTCGATCGTATGTGCGCCAGTCGCTGATCGTATCCATCGCGGAGACAGGAAGATTGACAAGAACGTCTGCAAGTGAGAAGACAAGTTAGGCCTCGCACTATGTATCAAGTCCGAAATACTCACTCTCT